GTATCCTTCTTTTGAACATACCCAACTCCTTGATATAACCATATTATTCTTGTCCTTATACAATTGATCCCTTCGAATACTAAAGCCTTTCACCTTAGCATACGAATTATAAAATCTTTCTCCGTTTTCTTCTGAATCAAATGTCATTTCAAACACATCATTTTCAGTTAATTCATCTAGACGCTTAATATCTCTTTCGGTTGGAATATTATTAGAATTGACGATATTTGTTAGAATCAGAAGCCGTTTGAAATAAGTTTAATCAAACAGTCCAAAATAGCTTTTCCAAAGCTAGAAGTTGTAAGTTGGCTCAAAAAAGCCCAAACAAACATTCCCATTGTGATTTATAACTCATTTTTAAAAGTGAAATTTTACACTTTCTAAACCAAGTTTCAGAAAGCATGGAAGTTCACAGTTCTAGACTCAAAAAGTGTAAAATTTCACACTTTTTAAACCACACTTACTAGTCAATGAGACTGTACTTACTATTTTATCAGACTTGACTTACCACTCATTTGAATCACACTTACTACTCAATAAGACTGTACTTACTACTTTATCAGAATTACACTTACTACTCAATGAGACTCTACTTACTACTTTATCAAACTTGACTTATCAGCTATTTAAACAATACTTACTACTTAATAAGACTCTACTTATTATTTTATCAACCTTAACTCATTTAAACCACACTTACTATTCAATGAGACTATACTTACTACTTTATTAGAATTACACTTACTACTCAATGAGACTCTACTTATTACTTTATCAAACTTGACTTATCAGCCATTTAAAGCACACTTACTAGTCAATGAGACTGTACTTACTATTTTATCAGAGTTGACTTACCACTCATTTAAACCATACCTACTACTCAATACTTGACTTACCACTCATTTAAACCATACTTACTACTTTATCAGACTTGACTTACCACTCATTTGAATTACACTTACTACTCAATGAGATTCTACTTACTACTTTATCAAACTTGACTTATCAGTCATTTAAACAACACTTACTACTTAATAAGACTCTACTTATTATTTTATCAGACTTAACTCATTTAAACCACACTTACTACTCAATGAAACTCTACTTACTACTTTATCAAACTTGACTTATCAGTCATTTAAACCACACTTACTAGTCAATGAGACCGGACTTACTATTTCATCAGACTTGACTTACTACTCATTTGAATAACACTTACTACTCAATGAGATTATCCTTACTACTTTATCAGACATGGCTTACTACTCATTTAAGCCACACTTACTACTCAATGAGATTATACTTACTACTAAACTTGACTTATCACTCATTTAAACAATACTTACTCAGTGAGACTCTACTTGCTGCTTTATTAGACTTGACTTATCAATCATTTAAACTAAATTTAAGACTACATTTACTATTTCATCAAACTTGATTTTTTTTTCTTACCACTTGATTCCCATAATTTTTCTTTTCGGTTTTGCTTCATACACCCAGTGGGGGTGGCGCCCCCAGTGACGTGGCGCGCCCCCACTGGTCGAAAAAAAAAGAAAAACTGTTTTTTTCGGACCAACCCCCAGCTGACACCTCACTGGGTGTCACCCCCAGCTGGGGGTAAAATGCATTTTCCTTTTCTTTTAATTAAGTGAAATATTATTCTAACAAAACGTAAAAATTTATAAATTCAAAATATAATGGAAGTGATAGTAAAAAGAGAGAGACTTACCTAAGGAGTTCCAAATCAACAACAATTCTATCTTAAAATCTCTGAAAGTTTTAGATATGAACATCCTTGGCTTGTCAATCATTTCAACTAAACTTAAGACTACATTTACTATTTCATCAAACTTGATTTTATTTTTTTTTCTTACTACTTGAATCTTATAATTTTTCTTTTAATTAGGTGAAATGTTGTTCCAACAAAACATAAAAATTTATAAATTCAAAATATAATGGAAGTGAAAGTAAAAAGAGAGAGACTTACCTAAGGAGTTCCAAATCAACAACAATTTTATCTTAAACTCTTCGAAAGTGTTAGAAATGAACATCAAATTTTGTTTATGAAATCCTCAAATGAAATTGAAAATTTTTTATATTTTGTTAATCATATTTCTCATTAATTGCATTTATTGTGGTAGATGAAAAATATACTAGGTTTCATTTATTGTCATTCATTGCCATTAAGTACATAAATAAAAAAACCATATTCCATAAAATGTAAAAAATTATAATAAATTTATAAATTTCATATTTATTTTGTATATATATATATATATTTTTTTTGTTTACATTCTATTTTATAAATTTTATATTTGAATGGTAAGTGTAGTTATATGGAATAATTACAACTATATCAAGTAGTAAATGTGTTTTGTTATTGTAATAAATTGAAAACCACTCATTTAAACCATACTTACTATTTTATTAGACTTAATTACCACTCATTTAAACTACATTTACTACTCAATGAGACTCTACTTATTACTTTATTAAACTTGACTCATCACTTAAATAACACTTACTACTCAATTAGACTCTACTTACTACTTTATCAAACTTGACTCATCATTTAAACAATACTTACTACTCAATGGGACTCTACTTACTATTTTAGTAGACTTGATTAATTAATCATTTAAACTAAACTTAAGATTGCACTTACTATTTCATCAAACTTGATTTTTTTTTTTTTACTACTTAAATCTCATAATTTTTCTTTTAACTAGGTGAAATGTTGTTCCAACATAATATTAAAATTTATAAATTCAAAATATCATGGAAAGTTAATGTAAAAAAAGAGATAGAGACGATAGAGACATAGATTCTTACCTAAGGAGTTCCAAATCAACAACAATCTTATTTTTAAATCTTCAAATATTCAAAAAATTTAAAAATAAACATAAAATTTTGTTCATGGAACCCTCAAATAAATTATAATTTTTTCTATATTTTATTACTTATATTTCTTATTAATTGCATTTATTATTTTCAAGTGTGATAAATGAAAAGGAAATTAGGTTTCATTTATTGCTATTAAGTAGATAAATAAATAAAAAATCATATTTCATAAAATGTAATAAATTATAATAAAATGTTTAGAATTCAAATTTATTTTGTTTATTTTTTCCTTAAATTCTATTTTATAAATTTTATATTTATTTTAGAGATTTTGAAAATTTATTATAACTTAATTTTTTAAGTTTACCCGTTACCTGAATAGCAGGTTAAGTGTATTTTATCAATAATTGAATGGTAAGTATAGTTATTAAAAATAGTAAGTATGATCACATCAAATAGTAAGTATACTTAGTTATTGTGGTAAGTTAAAAACCACTTTTTGGTTTCAAAACCATTGTTTTTTACGAAACTACCTAGATTTCTTAACCTAGTTTTAATTATTACTAATCAATGGTTAGATTTATTTTACTTTTAGATCTAATGGTCCAAAATTATTTATGTATGATACATGAAAACCATCTTCATGTATCCTAGAAAAATCCTTCCTTTGATAGATTACCAAATCATATTCTAACATGATAAACTATTATAATATATTATATTATATAATACAACATAATTATAATATATATAAATATAAATATAAGATTATATATATATATAACACCTCTTTTTTTATATAACAAATATAAATATATAAATATTTGGATTAATTATATATAATTAAATAACACATTAAATTAATTAAATACTACATTAAATTCTTATGTAATTACGTAATTAATAAATTCAAAAATAAAATAAAATAATAATAATAAATAAGACTTACGAAAAATTAAAGTTGCTACGTATTGCTTGCGTAGACAACTAATAATATATACTTACTTGAGGTGATGTTGACATTTGTGTCACGTATACTAATTTTTATTTCCAAAATAAGTGTAAATAATTATATAATTTCCACACATATAATATTTTAAATTTATGAGCAAATATTTAATCTATTGGAGTTTTACCCGCATGTATGTTAGATAAATTTAAATTATAGAATTTTATAAATTTTGTTTAAGATTCTTATATTACGTAGCAATTACCGTGGTATCAAGATGGAAATTTACGACTCGATACGATAACATGACTCAAATCGTATATGAAATTAACAGGTTAAGATTGACTATTTATTGACATGAACACGTATATGATATGACCCGATAACGTGAATATTAAACGGGTCTGGTTAATGTCAAATCTATATAATATGAAATTGATACAAATAATCCGTATAATGAATAATTAGTTACACATTTAATATTATTTTCAGTTAAAAGTATCATGATATTTTTTAATCTCTTACGTAATTACATTTAATTTATTAAAATGTATGTAAAATATGATTTTAAGTTTAATATAGGTTTTTGGTTTTAATTGAAGTTAATGTATTTTTTTGTCTATTATTTGAGTTAATCTAGTAAAAAAATATAATAATAAAATATAAATTTTATAAATTAAGAAAATAAAATAAAATTTAAATCAAATATTTTTATAAATATTTTCATTTAATAGAAGTTAGTTTAGTTAAATTTAATTTGTGAAGAAATTTTAAATTTTTTTTTCATACATTTAGTATTTTTAGTTAACAATGAAATCTGTTGACATGATAAGTTAATACAATATGAATAGGACACGGACTGAAAACGACATGACACGATACGATAATATGAAATAATAAAACAAATCGAATTACTGTTGAGATAATTTTGACACGAATTCGAAATGACACAACACGAATGCGACTCAACACAATACAATACCCATCCCTAATGTGGTATTTTTTTCTATCTAATTTTAAACAGAGTTTAATTTTAAGAGTAAATTGTGAAAAACTTGAAACATAATGGGTCAAAATGAGAAAAACAAATTTAACAGGCAAAGTAGAAAAATAACCATACATAAAGGGCAAAATGTAATTTATCTCTTTAATTTCCAAAGAGGAGGATGAAGAGGGCACATGACCACCACCCATTTCCTTCTTCTTCACTGTGCGAAGACAGACTTTTAGCTCTCTTCTTTCTCAAAACCTCCATTTCTTGTATGCGAAATTGCTTTATCTGATCATCGGAGAGTGAAAAACCACCAATTCTTCAACGGATTTAAGTTCAACATTTTCAGGTGATGCCCCAAATCCCTAATCTTTCGATATACATGCAAATCCCTTAAATTCTCAGTCCTCTTTGTTATTTTTTTCACATTCCCATTACATTTAGCTACTGTCTTTCTTATTTATTCATTTATTCGTCTTCTTTAATTTATGGTTATTTTTTTTACACTGCATGTCCTTTTGCTTTGTTTTCATTTTTGTTTTCCCTTGAAATTCTGTATGCATTTTTACCAATAAGAGATTGTGTTTTAAAAAAGGAAAAATGGAAGATAAAGCACACATACCCAAGAAAGAAAGAAAAAAAGAAGATAAATCACAAAATAATTATAACAGAAGATCCTAATCTGGTGGGCTTGAAAGATGCAAGCTTGTCATGAACAATTGCATTTTTTGGATATTTAGGAAGTGGGTATCTGGACAGTTGGTTGTAGATAAAATTGTGGCAAAGAACTCTTTGAAGTTTGACTTTTGACAGAATTTTTGGTTACAGCATTGATACGGTCAACCATATTCATGGACGAATTAGCCAAACGCATTATGAATTAACTGTCTTAGTCATGATGTCCCATGGTGAATATTGTTTGTAGATGATATTGTTCTAATTGATGAAACTAAAGGAGAAATTTGGAGAGAAGCCCTCAGGTCAAAAGAGTTTAAAATGAGAAGAGCTAAAATTGAATATATGGAATGCAACATTAGTAACAATAGAAGTAGAAATAATAGAAAAAATGAAGATTGAAAACTAGGAAATAACGAAGAGTGAACACTTTCGTTACTTAGGTTATGTTATTAATGATGATGAAAATGTTGGAGATAATGTGATTCATGGAATCAGAGTAAGTTGGCTTAGGTGAAGGAGTGCATTTGGCATAATAATTAATCAACAAGAACCAACAAAATTGAAATAAATTTTTATTTTTATTTTTATAGAACAACTATAAGATAACTATGCTTTATGGGGTAGAGTATTGGGTTATTAAGAAACAATATGTACAAAAAATGAGAGTAGTTAAGATGAGGATGCTTAGATATGTGTGGTAAAACTAGGAAATACATAAATATAAATGAATATATTTGTGAAATGACTGGAGTAGTACCAATTAAAAATAAATTGAGAGAGAACATGCTAAGATGGTGTGACCATAGGCAATAATGATTCGTTGATGTAATGAGATGAAAGAGTAATATGATCACCATAAATGGAAATGATAGAGAGGGGAAAAGACTTAAATTGATGTGGAAGGCGGTAATAAAAAAACATACACATTTGATTGGGACGCCATGCTTAGTTTAGTCTGGTTTGGAAATTAAAGTATGAAATTCTATAGATTGTTGTCATGGTTATGGATACTTTATTTTACTCTTGTAATTGGTTTCGCGATAGTCATGCTTAGATTATTTTTTTCCTTATTATAATTTTAAATGAAATAGTCATGTTCTAATTTGAATTGCAGTGGAATCATTTCAGGAGGAAAATCTACAGAGTTATTGCAACTGCCATGTACCAATACCTTGCTGCGTAGCAGCATTTTGGGGACTGATCCCATTTGGTTTCATTTCAAAGGTATTGCAACACCCATGTATTTCCTCATAGTTAACATACATTTTTCCAAGACACACTTCGTTTAATTAAAAATGAGCTCCTGTGGCAGGTTGCTTGAAGAGACAGCAAAAGTTGAGATGGATGAGGAGATGATTTTTTTGGACAATGTTATGCCAGTGGAGATTGCACTTAAAAGGGAGCGAGAGTATAGGCGGAAGGTAGAGGCATTGCAAAAGCAGCAGCAAAGTGATTCTATGAATGACACTTCACATTTGAAGGTGTGGTTTTATGAAGAACTGGTCCTACCAGTTACCCACCTTTAACCTTGCATAAATCATTAAAAAATTAGGCTATCCATCAATGTGCAATTAAGATGTTATATTTTATGCTTTTGGCCAAATATAAGCAAATTTAAGTTTCTTCCTTCTTCATAATATGTTTTCTGGAAAGGTTCCTTGAGAATCAAGGATTCCCATTTTTTCTTGGGAGCCTAAGAGGAGTACTCTACAAGAAAATGAATTATTCCACGTCATTGTAGCGTGTTGTGGAAATATACTATCTTATGCTCTCTCTCACTCTCTCTTAGTTTGGCTCTATTATTTATTACAATTTAATTATTAGTATTGTGAATTGATGCTGTATGAGAGAGTATTTCACTGACTCTGCAGCATTTGTTAAATGGACAGACATATGAAGTCAGTTAGGATCATAAAGAGATTAATGTAAAGGTCTGGCAAGAATGACTTTCTTTGTAGTTCAGTAGGTGTCCGTAGTTTCTGAAAGAATAAGCCACATTGGTTAGCATTAGAGTATAAAATGGTAGACTTATGATTGGTAGAAATCCCTTAAAAAGGGAAAAAATAATACGAGAGGAGGGGGACAAGAAGTCCACTACAAAGGAAAGAAACAAGAAGAAAATCAAAACAAAAGACATTAAAAAGAGCCTCACAATCTACATACAACTCTCCAATCCCTAGGAATTTTTAAAAAATGGTGCTCCTTTGAAAGGAGGAGCCATCGGAACCTAAAAAGAAGCCAAAAAACAAATCTTCTTCCAAATGCTTGCAAGGTCTTCAACTTCTTCTTCAAAAAATGGTAGAATTATGATTAAAATTAGCTTTGTCGCTTGAAGTCTTCCAAATGCATCAGAAATATACATAAGTGATATGTGTTCTGCAAAAGTGATTCACCAAGCTGCATCAAGCCATACATTTACTAGCATGAGTGTTTTATTTATTTTATTTTATCGGCAAGTGTTTTCTTAAGAAGTACCTGTAACAGAAGTACTTGTTTGCAAATTATTCTTGCAAATTTTAACCTGAGAGATAGATTTTAAGATCGATGATATTCTCGACATATTTTTTTCCTTGGGACTTCTGGATAGTTTCTCTTAGTTGATGTTTCTGCCAGAAATAGAAATGGAAATGCAAAGGATTCCTGAGATTATTTTCATCTACTGATACGAGAGTATGATTATATTTGGATCTGCGAGCTTTCGAGGCATTAACATTTCTTCTACTACGTAGGTTTGCATAGATTGGGGACCTTTGCATTTCCATTTGTAACCTTCTTTAGTCTTGTAACTCTCTGGTTCTTGGAGTATGATAATATATATGATAGTCATTAGTGATATGGCAGCAGGTTGATTTCTCAAATTAGTGTTTTGTTGAAAGTGTCTCTTTACATCTTCAATTTATTTATTTATTTTGTATTTTTTATTTTTATAATTAATAGAAGAATTGATTTCCATGTTTTCATGTTTCAATTTCCTCATTTCAGGGGCCTCTTCTAAGTCTAGCAGGAACAAAGAGAAAAGCACCGTCTACTAACTCTCAAGGAATTTGTTCGCTGCAGATTTCTCGTGACCAAGCCTTCCAAAAACAACCTGCCGGCCTTGTCTGCACGGTTTGCAAGGCGACCTTCTCTACTCTATGTTATCTCAAGCAACATTGTGAAAGCCAAGCACACAAAGACAAATTATTACAGATGAAAAATGGGGGATACGCTTTAAGCAACCCTCTATTGTGTAAACTCTGTAATGCCACAGGCTCTAGTATAATTGTATTAGAGGGCCACCTTAATGGGACGAAGCATGCTGCTTCCCTACAAGAGCTTGAGATTGCAAAATTGGGGAGAGAGGGAGAGGCACAAATTTTCAATGAGAAGCATTGGAATTGAAGATGCATTTGTGAACAAAGTAGAAGGAAGGCCTGGAGATTCAGATTGTTAGCTATTGACATGGTCCTTGTCTTGCTTTTCTCCAAGTACTTATCTTTTCATTTGCTCCTTTATTCTCTAAGAGGTAGCTGTTCCTTGAATAAATCTTTATCTGACCTTGACTGACTCTATCAATATACAGAAGTTTATAGATTTTAGAATTTGTTTTCTTGGATGAGTGCAAAAGTTTTTAATGTGGGATCTTCTTATGTATCAATAAGAACCCATCTATTATTGATTTTTCTTTTAAAAATGTTTTATTTTTTTAGTCGTTTTGACAACAAAGCATCATGAATGCACAGCAAATTGCTCATACTTTGACTGCTCACGCCTACACTTTTATCTCTAATTATCGTAACTTTTTTGACAGAAAACCAACTCAAAAACATATCAAATGCACACAAAACTTAGTATGGAAGCTAACAAGTATAGGGAAACTAACCTACTGGAGTACACATAAATGCATGAGTAGTTGATTCATCTTGAAATTTTGACTTTTGCCAGTTCATTAATTGAATTTGAAAACACCCTCATGGAATGGTAACATTAATAAATTCATTTCATAACTTGAGACGTGTTTGATTCAAACAGTCTCATTAAATAAGTAGGATTATTTCTAAGAGTTCTATATAGTTTTGTTTATGAAATAAAGTTCTCCAAGCATATCAGAAACTGAGCAAGAAACATCTTTTTTAAAGCCATTTGTTCATGAAACCCTTTGAGGTAGTGACTTTAAACCTTAGAGATAGAATGATGAAAGCTTGAGAGCATCAGGCATGCAATTTGCAAAACTTTAATATGGATCCAAGGAATGGAGTTGACTGTTGAGAGAAGAAAATAAGAGTCATTACCGAAATACAAAAGATTAACAGAACATTCTTATTGATAGTTTTTGCAAACGAGCATGAAGAATTGCAAACAAAATGAGAGTTATTTTCTGAAATTTCCATTCAAAGCAGTTTGTATGAGTTGTGCTTCAAATTATTCAATTGCTGTTTTCTATTGAAAAATTATCAAACACAATTGCTAAAACTTTCTTGTATTGAATAAGGATCACAATAGTGGTATATATATACACATTCCTACCATAATTACGAAGATGATTATATGGAGGATTTACAGGAAGTCAAACCACTAATCAAGCCTAATATCATGTCTTTTGATTACAATCAAATATACACCATAAACACGTGCTATATTAGTGGAATGCCATTAATACTGTTGACTCACGCCAACACGTCCCCTCATGTTGGTGCGTAGAAATCACACATGCCCAACTTGACAAGTGAGTCAAGGAATACCCTACTAGCTACTGCCTTGGTGAGTATATCTGCTAGTTGGTCTTCGGACTTTACAAATGGAAAACTAATAATTGTAGCTTCAAGCTTCTCTTTGATAAAATGTCTATCAATCTCCACATGCTTAGTCCGATCATACTGGACAGGATTATGCTCAATAGCAATGATTGACTGGTTATCACAATGTAGATTCATTTCCCCTATTGGTTTAAAACCCAATTCGGTCAATAAGTTTTTCAACCAGAGCAATTCACATACCCCAAATGCCATACCCTTATATTCAGCTTCGGCACTCGACCTTGCTACTACTGGTTGCTTCTTACTTCTCCAAGTCATAAGATTACCACCTACAAAGGTGAAATATCCTGAGGTAGACCTTCTACTGTCAGCTGAACCTGTCCAATCAGCATAGGTATAGCCTTCAACCTTCAGGTGACCATGATTACACTTTTACCTGGAGCATTCTTCAAATACTTCAATATGCGATCTATAGCATCCATGTGAGGTTTTCGTGGGTCATGCATGAACTGACTCACCACACTCACTACATGTGCAATATCTGGCCTGGTATGAAATAGATAAATCAGTTTCCCCACAAGTCTCTGGTATCTCCCTTTATTAGTATGCGAGGCACTCAAACATTCAAATAACTTATGGTTTTGCTTAATGGGAGTGTCTACTGACTTACATCCAAGCATACCTGTTTCAGATAACAAATCAATGATATATTTTCTTTGGGATAAGAAAATTCCATGCTTCGATCGAGCTACCTCAATCCCAAGAAAATATTTTAGGTCTCCAAGTTGTTTTATCTCAAACTCAACATAAATACTGTTGTAACCTAGAAATCTCCTCATGATCATCACCATATCATCCACATAGATGATCAAAGCAATGATTTTACCTCCTTTGCGTTTCAAAAACAAAGCATGGCCTGAGTTACTTTGTTTGTAACCAAACTTTTTCATAATAGACTTGGTGAACCTACCAAACAAAACCCTTGGAGATTGCTTAAGTCCATATAATGCCTTTTTTAGTTTGCACACCATTTCTGTCTTTGAGTATTTTGGTATACCGGGAAGAGGATTCATGTACACTTCTTCAGCTAGGTCTCCATGTAAAAAGGCATTTTTTACATCAAATTAGAGTGGGCAATTCTGATTAGCTGCTAATGATAGAAGTACTCTCACAGTATTAAGCTTAGCAACTGGTGTAAACGTTTCTTGATAATCTTCACTATAAGACTGTGCATATCCTTTCACAATCAGCCGAGCTTTGAATCTCTCGATACTTCTATCTGCTTTGTGTTTGATTGCAAATACCCATCTAGATCCCACTGGCTTCTTTCCCTTTGGTAGAGGCACAAGTTCCCCAAGTAGCATTCTTCTCCAATGCTGCCATCTCTTCTGCCATAGCCTTGTTCCATCTAGAATCTACCAAAGCTTCCTGCAACTTACTAGGAATAGACACACAGGATAATTGAAGTACATACGATACATATGACTTGGACAACCTGTGGGAGTATACATGACTATTTATGGAATACTTAATTTTAGCTTTGGGATCTGGTTCATATCTGGATGATGGTTTACCACGATTAGACCGGGGTGGAAGATGATAGTGAGATGGTTCAGAATTAAGATTAGTTATATTAACTAAATCATGAATATTAGGATCAACAAGGATATGTTCAGGGGATACCTCTAAGGAGTCATTCGGAGAAGATTGGATTAGTGGTTTTGTTGTAGGAGTGGGAGATAATGTACTATCATGGACCGGATCTTCATTATTAATTGAGTCAGTTGGGTTTTCCTTGAAGGGTGCAAGGCTTTCACAGTCAGTGGAAGATGTATTAGGAATTTGAAACATTTCAAAGAACCCCATATCATCACGATTCTGTACTTCTTCCATAGTCTCCCCCTGAAGTGAAGAATTAGTTATCCCTTCTGAGTAGTACAGTGTTTTTGTTCATGGAATGTGACACCCATGGAAACATAAAACTTCTTGGTAGGGGATGGTAACACTTATTGCCCTTTTGAGAAAATCCATAGCCAACAAAGACACATTTCAATGCCCTTGAATCAAGTTTGGTGCGTTGGTAGGTATGTAGATATATATACACCACACAACCAAAAATACGAGGCTCCAAATGAACAATGGAAGGAAACGTGCACTGGTCGAATAACGCATCCAAAGGTCTCCGAAAATGTAGAACACTAGAAGGTGTTCTATTAATTAAGTAAACGGCATAACTCAAGGCTTCACCCCACAAGTGGGAGGGAACATGACCGCCAAGTAACAGAGATCAATCGACCTCCAAAAGGTGGTGATTTTTGTGCTCTGCAACTCCATTCTGTTTAGTTGTATTAGTACAAAATGTTTGATGAAGGTTACCAACTGAAGTCATAAACTCAGACAATTTCCTTTTGACATATTCACCCCCATTGTCAGAACGGAGAACTTTAATAGACACACCAAATTGAGTAAGTACCATCTGATGGAAGGAGTGAAACACAACACATACATCACTCTTTTGTCTCATTAAATAAATCCAGGTCATTTTGGTACAATCATCAATAAATGTAATGAACCACTTCATCCCATTATGTGTAGAAAGAGGGGATGGACCCCAAATATCTGAATGAACTAGGATAAAATGAGCTTTAGCTTTATTATTATGCGGATAAAAGATAGTACGATGGCATGTTGCCATTACACAAGTTTCACAAGCAAACTCAAAAAGATGACAACCATTAAACAAAGAAGGAAACAATCGCCTTAGATAACCAAATGAGGGATGACCTAGTCGTCTGTGTCACAACCAAATCTCTCTCTTATTTTTCAATATGGTGTCACCTATAGCATGAACCAGTGCTCCATCCTTTGATTGTTGTAATCCGTCATCTAGATAGTACAAGCCTCCTCTCTCTTTACCACTGCTAATCCTCTCCTTGGTATGGATGTTCTGAAAAACACAGTGAGTAGGAAAAAAAGTGGTCGCACAATTATGAGACTTGGTTAACTGACTAATAGACATAAGATTACAGTTTAGTGATGGGACAAATAAAGTATCAGTTAGGGATAAAGATGGTGACAAGGACACAGTGCCAACATCGACAAATAGGAGAAGACACACCATTGGCATTAGTGATGATTGATTTTGAACAGCTAGAGGATAAATTACTAAATACATAGCGGTCACAAGTCATATCATCAATAGCACCTGAGTCAATTAGCCAAGCACTATTTCCAGTAAATAGGGGAAGACTATAAGTAGAATTAGATATACCTGACTTGGCAATGAATGCGGAAGTAGTGGCCAAGTTGCTCCTGGAAGTCGAACCTTCAGCCTTGGGTTCAGGAGCCACTGGAGATGATGTCTTACTCTTCGGATGCCATTTAGTGTACCCATGTAACTTGAAGCAGGTCTCTATAACATGATTCTCACCATGGCAGTAAGTGTATTTAGTGTACCCATGTAACTTGAAGCAGGTCTCTATAACATGATTCTCACCATGGCAGTAAGTACACTTACGAACACCCTTTTTCGACTTACGGGCAAAAGATTTTTGAACAGCCATAACAACCCCATCACTTTAGTGTTACATTGAGCATAGCATCCTGGCGATTTGTCTCGGCACAGACAATGGCACAAGCAGCCTGCAGATTTGGAAGAGGTGCAATAGCCAAAATCCAACCACGAACCCCATCCAAATGAGAATCGAGACCAACCAGAAAGACATATAATTGTAGGGAGTTAACCATTGTAGTATATCTCTCAATATCCTGGGTACATTCCATGGTACATGGCTCAATAACATCAAACCCTTGCCATAATTTCTGTAGTTTTCCAAAGAAAGAAATAACAGAACCTCCATTTTGGCGAACAGAGATTGCCTCACAATGTAACTGATAGGCTTTTGATGCATCTTGACTTACAGAATAAGTTTGTTTGACAGCATCCCAAATTTCTTTTGCTGTGGATAGACGAAGAAAGAGTGAACGAATTTCTTTGGTCATGGCATTGAGAAGCCAAGATTTGACCAAGCAGTTTTCATCCTCCCATGCTTCATCTTCCTCCAACTGAACATCTTTTGGAGCAGCCTTAGTACCCGAAATAAAACCCCAATGTTTTCTCCAACGGATCTTATTCTGGGCATTCAATGACCACTCAACATAATTGGTGTCATCAAGCCTTTCTGGAGTGATGAGAGAGGAGGTTTCCTGCATATGGAACCCATCCGATATAGTAGTAGACTCGTTCTTTGTTAGAAATCATCACCACTTGTGTTCGTCATAGTGGTAAGACACTAAAAAAAACTTCGCAGCGGACTGATATGAGTAGAACAACAATTGTGAATACTGGACCAAACTTCAATCCCTAGGGTAAAGAATAGGAGATTGAAGCGGCTCTGATAACATATCAAACAACACAATTGCTAACATTTTCTTGTATTGAATAAGGATCACAATAGTGGTATATGTATACACATTCCTACCATAATTACAAAGATGGTTATATGGAGGATTACATGGAGGATTTACAGGAAGTCAAACCACTAATCAAGCCTAATATCATGTCTTTTGATTACAATCAAATATACACCATAAATACATGTGCTATATTAGTGGAATGCCATTAATACTATTGACTCATGCCAACAAAAATAGTGTCTTAAATAGGAGACTTCTCAACTTGAAAACTAAAGGGATGAATTCCTAATCATATGAAGATAGGGAGTGGATGGGAAGCTGGTCTTAACATCCAAAAATGATGATAATTTAATGTATAAAATAAATGGTTTTGCCCCTCTTCTTCACATGGATTTGGATAGATCACTAGCTCTTTCCTTGACCTTCAACCCTTTAAACTCTAGTGATGCGCCTTGATATTCTCCTTAACGTTTGTTGTTTCATTTGAGCTGAAAGTTTAAACATTGCCTTACATGTATAACTTGTCATATTTAAATAGTAATTTGATGGCTAGGATTTAGTTCAAAGTCCTTTCATACATTTTATGGCAAAATTTTTTTTGGGGTAAAAATATAATAGATACGAACATTGTAATTTGTAACAATGACATTAACTGACATCTTTTAATATTGTTTGTCTAGGATTTCCTAGGCCATCGATTTATGTTTCTTGGTTTAGAAGCTAGTTTTAGTGTCTATTGGGCATTAGAATAGAATAGATTAAGGTAAAACTTAAATGGTTTTCAAGTTTATGATTAAGGTGCGGGAATAAGTTTTTAGTCTGGGGACAAAATTAAGGTTTCATGATAACCAGGATTCCTTTTTATCTAGGTTTAGTATTTTCAGGGACATGGATTATTTTGGTTTTTAGGTGTTACTCAAAGATGTTCTTGGTGACTTATGAAAGTAGTAGGCTATAATCTCCTCGCTATAATGGATCGAGTTTATTGATTGCATGTTAATAGGATCCTTGGAGTGTATTGGGTGAACTCAAGTAGTAAAGGAACAATTATAGCTCCAGCAAACTTGAAAAAATGATAAGATGTGATGGTCTTGGTCACATCTATTTGAGGCCTACTGTGATTTGATTATTTGTGGACATCGTGTGGATATGTACAAGTGACTTGAATTGCTACCTTCATTGTGAATAAGAATAAAAGAAATTGACAAATACTCGCAGGATGTTTAGGAAGACCTCTATTTGCAGTAGTTCATAAACAATTAGAGTCCACTGTTTTCGTGATGCTGCTAAACCATTTGCATTCTTGGCAGTGCAAAATCTCAATGATGGTGGTGTTAATTTCACAGATTGAAATCTTTAGAATTACATGCTTATAACTTCTGTGATTTTGGTCTAGTTATCTGCATTCTGCATGAACATCATAGCCTTCCCGTAAGTCCTCACTAAATATTTCCTAAACCTAGGCAAGTTTAGAGTTACATTTTGGTTCATATATATATCCCAGTTAGACCAATCTCTCGTTAACATGCCTCCTTGATCATTTGGATCCAACAGGTCCGATGGCAATTTATCGGCTAAGCTGCTCTCTTCAATGGCAACGTCATAGACTAGGTACTCTAATCCCAGACGAACAGCAAGCTTTCCATAACATATGTCACCTAACCAACTGTTTCTTATTGGCACAATTTGCATGAACGCTGCCCCAGGCCGAAGGAACAACTCATTTGTTAGTCCTGCACCATGAACTCCTACCATTGCATGGCTACCGTGAAGAACCCTAAAGGTTTCTTGCACGGGGGTCTCCCGAGTTGGCTCGTAGACAACCACATCAAACCCTACATCCTTTGCGGCTTCTATGACCTCGTCTTGGTTCATAATCACGCGGTGGTGGCTGCGGCTCATCAGCACGAGCCGTGGCCGGTGCCCAAATGGCAATGCAAATGCACGGTCATGGCTTTGGGGATGGCCATATATAGATACTAATAGGGCATGGAAATCGAGCATGGTTTTGCGGTTGGGCCCTCGTTGTAATGTGGGGTCTATTGTCATCGGACCGTGTGACATTAGCCCTACGATCGCCGATGGGAAACAATGGGTGGTTGTTTCTTTGTCGAGGTTGATGATCGGGTGTCTCGTCAAGCGTGCAAGTAGCTCCCTGTACTTATGAAGCCACCAATCGCTACAATTCACGATCGCGAGAATGACATCTTGATTGACAAAGAATGAATCAATAGTGATGTATAGCGGAACGAAGCCTTCATTGAAATCATGGAAAACATTTGAGGTGAATCCACCCGCACTGAATACTATGGCTGGGGTAGTGTGTGTGACAGCACATGGAGAGTAGAGTGGGGCTGTGGTCAGGGTGACCTCCTTAACTTTTTCCATGGCGTTGTGTTGCCATTTGCGAGGGTAGGGGCGGATCCTTTCCACTAATGGTGGGGTAGAGTTTGTAGGGTCTTCTGAAGATAAAGTTGCAGTTGTTGGATTGAAGACGCATGGACGGTTGATATAGCAGATATCGTACTCAAAACGAGAATGATCACATGTGATTGACCATGTGGGCTCAGGGCTCTCCCATTTTTGTGCGCCTTTTGCTTCTTCTATGTCAAAATCTACACACATGAAAAAAGGTTCAAAACATGTTTATCATAGATGAAAGTGAAAAACAAATAAGGTTAGCTCGCAGATTAAGCAAGCGAGTATGGAAATTTATTATCAAGCTTGATTGTAAGACCAAAATAATGATAAAACATTGAGAAATGTTATACACAATACTAACCACAAAATAGGGACCCATAGGCTTATGAGCGTCATGTGGTTGGTTTCTGTGTATGTATTATGTAGTATTGTTGTAAAACACCTTCAGAAATCATTTTTGGTTATTTGTGTTTTAATGTTAGATGTCATACCTTGAGTTCTTGTTGGACTTGATTCAAATGATCCAAAGATCATTGTGAGAATGATGTCGAGAGCAAAGAAGAGTAGTAGCGGTACCAGGCATATGGCTAGTGTTTTTGGCCGTTTTTTCTTATTCATCATGCGCGAAGCTCCTGGCATAGTTGCTGATGGATTGGTTGATGCGAAGCTATTAACCATCAAGTTTCTCATCCAAAATTACGTGAGAGTTCTCTCGAAGATTAATACCTGGAAACATTTCATGTCTGTTAAAAAGCAAGAGAAAACTACAAAAAATTGTTTAATATTTATTGAAGGCTGTTTTAGGCGTTAAAAGTGTATAACAATGACAAACATAAGAAGGGCATGAAATCGTTTAATTTTTTGTTAGAAATGAGCAAGACTTTAATAAATAAAAGAACTTCAATTTATTAGTTTTTTTGGCCATAGGTACAATAAATATGGAATATTGTTGAAAAGTGTTAAGAGGCTTTGAAGGGTATAACAATAACATAAGAAGGACATCAAATTCTTCAATTTTTAACTTTAGAAATGAATTAAATTGTTATACAATCAATAACATGAAGAGAGGAGAGCTTCTCCCTAATCACCACCAAATATTTTTAATGTCTTAAGTATGTTTCTTTATAACTATCTTCAGACCTTAAGTTCTTCATTACAATGTCTACACATGTTTATACTCGAACAAGCATATCCTTATTCAATCTGGAAAGCAGATCCAACAACGAAGAACCTGGCCAAATATTTAATTCTTTTACGGAAAATTAAACTATTATTCAAAACTCCTACAAACACACTTTATGAAATTGCGAAGTAAAACTTTTCAAAAAATAAAAAATAAAAATGTAGGCAGTAAAATTTTTCATTTGGATGTTTTATCGAATCTTTTGTTATGGTCCACCAATATCTTCACCCTTGCAATTTCATTAAAGCTGAAATTTTCAAACTACCTCATATATTGCTAGGATTAATTACTAATACAATAGATCTCTACCATAATGACGCGTTAAATTCTTGAAAGGTTAATGATGCTTTGAATTCTGGAAATGGTCTTGAAAGGTTGGCTTTCATTATAGTTAACAATTCAATTACTATACTCACTAAAACAGCAGGTCTATTAATTACAGTTTGTTGGGAACTCTTAGGATCAGGAAGTACCCTGTTAACTAGAATTAGGAGTACTTGTTCATTTAGCAGGCGAGTATCCCAGCTTTTCTATGAAAATTCCACCATGTAATTATTTCCTTTCATTCATAAAAAATACAAGTTACACGGTAGAGATTTCCCGCTCTATATTTGTGTGTTGTCATTATTGTTTGTCATTGTTACGTATTCTTTTAGAATCCAATTCTGCTGAATTAGAGGGAGCAATCGCGCTACTTCGATTCAGACCACTCTCATATTTTAAACACTTCATTAGAGTGTGCTAGACTTCAATGAAGAGAATTCTTAATTCAACCTAGATATCACATACCACTCTCATATTATTATTATTTATTTATTTATTTTTTTTGTAGTTTTTGATGTCCCCTTGTAAACATTTAGTTCACTGCTTCATTAATAATTTCTACAAACACGCATTGTTAAATTGCATTGAGGAATGCTGTTTTTTTTATATACATATATATAAAAAAAAAATAGATATCAGTTTTTGGAAAATTCTTCTTCTTTTTTTTGTTTTTGTTTTATAATAGATGATATCAGTGGCTGTATGTGTTGTGCCACAATTTTTTTATTATTTTTTTTGTATTTTGTATTCCATCCCTATACATAACAACATTTACATAGGAAACAAGCTGATAAAGAAAACTAAAGTATTGAAATAGAAAGATGAATTAGACTGAATGAACAAATAGAGGGATACTAACCTGACTGGATTCACAAGCCCCAAATGTAATAATGCTTTACCTTTCGTTGATGCAACTTGAAATTTTTGTTTGACCTTTACAATTTCATTGCAGGTGAAAGTTTTGACAGCCCTATTAAATGGCCAGGTTTAGTAACTACTAAGTTATTCAGCTTATAAAATTAATGTGTCGAATTTAATCAATCACATTAAATGGCTAGCATTTATTAGTAGGTTACTTCACATTATATCTCTAGTTTGTCAAAATACAACTTATGACTATTAAAAACGAAAAATTTATTTCATTTGTTAGTTTTGATCATACCAACAAAATTGGAAAGGAAAATTTTTATAGAGTAGCTATAAGGACACTTTACAGATAGTGTTAGGTAACTAATAAACAACACATGTATAAAATGAGTATAGTTGAGATGAGAATGTTTAGATAGATGTGTAATAAGCTTATAAAAGATAGAATTAGAAATAAATATATTCATGAAATGGTAGGAATGCCATCTATTGAAGATAAGTTGAGAGAGAACATGTCACGACTCAAACCCACCCCTATGGGTTTAGAGTCATGACCGGCCAGTAATCCTAGATTACCTTTGGCCTCAAAGACAAAATTTCAAAATATTTAATATCATATCGGGGCTTAAGGCAGAAGCAAAACAAAAATTAAAATGTCTATTGAGCTTGTACCTACATGATACAATAATAAATTATAAACATATACAAATCTTATATATCTCACATACATATACATTTAAGACTCAGCAAAATACAAAAACACAAAACTCTGACAAAGCTAAGGGACTGATTTCTTGGCTCTATTTGAGCCTAACTTGCTTCATTCCGGAAGCTCTTCAAAAGGCCGACACGGGTAGAATCCAAGACTTTCTCTATCCTTGTAGCTCAGTTTGCTCACCTACTTATACATATAAATAGTGAGCTAAAGCCCAGCGAATAATGACAATATAAAGAGGTTAAATGAATGAAGTTCGACGATAATACAAAAACCTGTCTTACAATTTCGAAACGAATCTTAAATCATTTTCGAAATAAGGCATTTGCCATATTATATCAAATTTATAACAAAACATTTTTCATATCAAATCTCTTATCAAAACATATATTTCCTTTTTTCAAGACAATCCATTTCAATGGGCAAATCAATTCGATTAGCCATCATATCAATCCCTTGCAATAATAAAAACAATTATTCGATAGCATTTTCAATACAATTCCGATTTCAATTCAATTTTCAATGATCCATGTTATCCCAATAGCAATAATCATTCAATGACAATTCACATGGTATATCCAATAGAGTAACAAGATTTCAATAACAATGGACAACAAGGGTCATACAATGGACCACGAAAGGTCAAACCAATGGATCACGAAGGGTCAAACCAATAATCCAATAACCATGGTATTGTTACCCCCAGGCAAGGGCTTATAATCAATGGATGCCACAATACAGTTTCATAAGTGAACTTCATTCATCGATGGAAGCAGCATTTTAATCAACCAATTAATCAAACACATAACAATTTCGGAAACAGTAATCATTTCGAAAATAAATATAATTTGAACATATCTTTATAAGGTTACTACTCACAGTGAGTTAAGTCGATATAACGGCCCGGACGTGCACCTATACAAATTACATAACAAAAACACAATAGAAGCACCAGCCTCGTTTGGGAACAAACTTTTTTGGGCTAAAATGTGATGTAAAAAAAAATAGTATATTTGGGATGAATTTTTGACTTTATACTAAAAGATGTGCAAAAAGTAGAGAGAAAATGAAATCTTTGACTTTTTGGTATGAGTTGTTGGCTTTTTGATTTTTTTAGTGACTTTTTGACTTTTTGGCTAAAAAACCCACTTGCCAAACGAGACCGTTTTAATTCAACTCTCTTTATGTGTTTCTAGCTTATTCCATGACTATGTGAGTCCAACTGGTGCCTAAGAATACTTAGAATGTCATGAGGATGCAATTATGCATTTAAAAGAGTTAGTTAAAAATTACTGAAAATAAGACTTTCGCTCGAGCGCACCTTTGATCACTTAAGCGGTCTGCAAAGCTCTGTAAAAATACTAGTTGGCCTTAATGTTTGCTCGAGCGGTGACTTTACCGCTCGAGCGGCCAACAAATTTTTTGTGCTTTCAAAACCAACAAAATAATTTCCAAACACATTTTCAAAACTTAAACTCTTGCATGAACCAAATTTTTTTTTTTGATCAACAAAGAAAAATTTCATTAACAGCATGAAATTAAAGGTACAGGACGATGACATGCATCGAGAGAGATTTGAAAAGTACAAGTTACCCCTACTACTGCTACTCGCACCCATACAACCAGCCCCTTGGCCTCACGAATTTTTTTTTTTTTTTAAACAAAAAAGTTAAGAAGGACTTAACTAGAAAATAAAATACATGAATCCCCACAAAATCAACCCACACACCCAAAAACCAAAAACCAACACCAAAACACCCAAGCTGCTCCTACATTCCTCTTTTCAACAAACTAAAATTTGCTTTTTCAACACCCAACAACTGCACTCCTCTTATCAACAAACCACACATTATTATTCAACCTGAATATTTTATTCACCCAAGCTGCTGCACTCCCAATGCCCATACCACCCAAACTAAAATCTTTTCAACAGCCCACCAAAGCCAAGACCCACGCCACCAAAGCCGAGACCTACGCCTGACAACACTCAACCATAGCATCAAAAGCATTCCACACTGTAGACACCCCATTTTTGACCGTCCTCAAGACTTGGACGTCACCGTTTGAACACTCGGTGATCATCCATGTTTGTGTTCGTTTGGAGTTCCCGGAGGTCTCGGCTCGTGCGCCTTGCCTCAGGATCTCCGAACTTGACTGTTTAGTGTCTGGTTTTGCACCAAACACTTGTGTTTTACCTTGGAGGGGCAGGGAATGCTTTGTGAGGCATCCCCACACACCACCGGCTGGTTTTTGCTGCCACCAGCAATGTATATTGCCGGTCGGCACTATTTAGTGCCGGTCGGCACTCTTTTTTGCCAAAATGGCATCTTTGGCCGGCCGACTACTGTGCATCTGCTTTTGCAGATATTTTAAGACAGCTGTCTTGCTTTTGGCTCCTCTACATACACGTGTATGGAGGGATCTCCCTCTTTAGAAGCTTGTCTTGTAAGCTTTACAAGACAAAAAGCCTCTATAAAGAGAGGTCTTCTCTCTTGTTGCAAGGGTTAGACATTTTTAGACATTTAGAGAGAGAGAACACAGAGAGAAGCTCTGGTTTTAGGGTTAGGGTTAGATACACACTCTATCTCTCTTTTACTCTCTTTGTGTTCTAGGTGTTTTAGCCCATACTATTGCACACAAACACCTAGTGTTTCACCTTCCTTTGGCTACTAAAGTTCTAAGGGGCTGTTTTTGAAGTTTTGGAGCTGTTTTCAACCTAGAAGGAGCTGTAGGAGCACCATTTGTGAAGGGGTCTTCAAAGGTAAGAAACTAGCCCCTTTATTCCCCAATCTTGCATTGTATTTTTACCTGTCTTAAATTCGTTTTGAGCTTGGTGTATAATACAAAAAAGTTCTATTTTTTAGCCCTCTTGATTGTTTATTAAGAGTGTTT